GACACACAGATTGTCGAAACTGCCCAAAGGAAGGCCGGGGTGCTCCCTGCTGCACTGGCCTGAGAAGTGCGACCACAGGCCTCCAGCTGCCCTTATGCGGTGGCCCAGCCTGCGGAGTCTACGTGTCCCAGCATGCGGTGCTGCCCCTTGCTGAGTGCAGCCGGGCCCCACTGCATGCTGGGCCCCGGGGTCCCAAGCGGCCGCGCTCTGCTCCTTTTTACACTGGTCGGGTGCAGCCCTCGGGCGCCGGCAGCTCTGCTGGTCTGAGCAGCTCTGCTCCCGGCTGCCTGGGGCGCTCGGTTCTGTCTGACCGGAAGGTCCAGGGGACTAGCAGTGGAGGCTGCACCCAGATAGGAGACAGCCAGAAACGCGCACGCCATTGGGGGAGCCTGGAATTTCAGCCCTCCCCCCAGGCGGTGCCCACGTTAACTAGTGGCAATTGTTCGTTCTCCAGAAATGAATATCCCCTCTGCTGCAGAACCCAACCCTTCCCTTCCCCTGCCTTCCCGGGCGAGCTGCATCTCCTGCCCCGCCGCTCTTACCTATCGCTTCTCCCCGCCACACGGCAGTACTGCCAGTCATCAGCACACTGCCAGCGGCTTCTGAGCGCCAGCCCATGCCCCCTCCTTCCCTGGGCCTGCGTTGGAAAACCCATCTGCTAATGAGCTTGCTTTTCTCTAGCATCCCTTAACCCAGGGCAGCCCTGAGCCGTTTGCACTGCTCGCTAAAGTGGGACGCACTTTGACCATCACAGAAATGCAACTCCCTCTGGGGTGAATGCAGCCGCCGTATGTGAGCCATGCAGCAGCCCTACGCGCAGGTGAATTTAAAGAGGCTGGCGTCCGATTACCAGTGCTGGAATCAGGCCAGAAGCTGGGGCTAACACACGGATTTCCAGAAACTCTGCGTCTTCATCAAGCACAGATGCCAGGACTGGTCCCTCACAGCACCCTGTCCTCCTGCATGCTTCAAGCAACTGCCTTACCATCCCCCTGATTCCAGATATCAGGGGAGTCTGGGCCTTTTACATGCTGCTCTGAAGACTGTCTGGTGGATTCCGAAAAGTCCCTGCTGGGATCCATCCCCTGCCCCAAGTTTTATTACCGGGGAGTTTGGCTTGTCTGCCGGAGGTGACGCCCTGGGCAGCCTGCGCCGTGTGGACAGAGGAGCTGCTGTGTGGGGCAATGCCTTTCGGGCTGCCTCTCTGGCTGGCGGGGTGTTTGGGGACAGTCCCCAGGGGACAGCTTGGATTGCTTTCTCGGAAAATACAAATGGGACCAGAGTTCTGAGAGCTCCCCCGTGTCTGAGCCTTTTCCCACACCCAGGCAGGCGTGAGGGGCGCGAGGCTCAGGAGCTGTTGACCCTCCCTGGGGTGGAGGGAGCATGGGAGATGGATGGCCGTTACACCAGCCAGCACCCCCTCCTGTTGGGCAGCCACCCGTTCTGTCTGCTCCCTTCTTGCCCTGATACCGAGCGTCATTCTGAAGGGCAGGGCCCGTTCAGCCCCTTCCCTGGATCCTGTTTTCCTCTCGTCTGTCTGGCCCTGCAGCCCAGAGTGCCAGCACCGGGCCAGGCCTGTGGGCTGTCCGTGGCTGAGAGCGCTTGCCCCGTCCCCTCTCTCCTCCACGTGGACCGGATATTTTCAAGAAAACGCTGTGAAAAGAATCTTTCCTACGACGCTTTCCAGCTGCCAGGAATGTGCGTCTAGGAATGCCTGGGCCCGTCCAAGAACAACTTCCAGCCGTGAGGCTGAGTGACGGCAGCCTCACGCGGGGGCTGCCGGCCGCTCCGCTCGCTCGGGGAGCTGCGCTCGCTGGAGGTGATGTGTTAACTACACAGGACGCGGCCGGGGCCGTGCGAGAGTGAGCGCTCGCTACTGCTGGCTGCAGGGCCCGCTCGTTAGAGGGATGTTCCGGTCCCAGCACTGCCAGGGGCAGATCCGCTCGGCTAGAGCGAAATGGGGCTTAGAACGGTTAGCGACACGCAGCTGGGGGGGTGGGAGGGGCATAGCTTGGCTGCACCCCTGGAGCCAACTCCTCAACACCCCCACGTGCGTCTGCCTCTGCACCCCTGGCCCGTGCGCCACGTCTGAAGCACCGTCACGCAGCTCGAGATGCAGTGTGTCATGCTGGCCCCTTTCCTCCCAGAGGCTTTGCCTCTTCAGCCAAGAGGAAGGCGGCTGCATCGTGGAACTTGGGGCCATGCGGGGCCCCTCCAGGCTGGTACCCACCTCCACTTCCAGGGGCAGGGACCCTCCCAGCTCGGCCTGAGCCCGGCCAGCACCACGCACCACCTAAAGCTCTGAGGGGGGAAGAGGTCCCAGAATGGGCCAGTGTGAAGCGTAGGGAGGCTAGACGGGGCTGTGGGCTAGGACAGGGCCGCAGGTCAGCATGGACACACACTGGGGCTGGTCTGTGGGGCCAGGAGAACACTGGGACCTGGGGCTTGTCTTGGGAGGGGAGGAACTCCCGATATGTAGATGTTAACGTTCGAAGGGACCATTATGAGCTTGTCTGACCTGCTGGCCAGGGAACTCCCCCCATGTCTCCTGCCTCCAGCCCGTCCATCGCTCCTGGTTGGACGAGAGCAGATGGTCTAGGAAGAGACGCCCAGGTGGTGGAGAATCCAGCGTGCCCTAGGTGAGCTGTTCCAATGGCCCTCGCTGTTACAAATCCGCATCTCGTTTCCAGTCTGAGTTTTTTACCTTCAGCTTCCAGCCCCTGGATTTTCTGCCAGGCTAACGAGCCACCTGCTGTCGGAAATCTCTTCCGAGTCGGTGCTTGTGGAGCATGATCACGTCACCTCTCGACCTTCTCTGGGATAAGCTAAACAGACTGAGCTTGACGTCTCCGTGGGACTGGGTGAGCCCAGGGTCGCTGCTTGCCCTGGCTCCGGTCTCCAGCTCAGCTCCACCACACCCTCCAGGGAGATTCAGTTTCACTCTTTGCTGAGGGCCCTTTGGGGTCCTCCCTGCCTGCTCTGAGGCCGACCCGCGTCCAGCAGTCTCAGCCCCCTGATATCAGCTGCTGCCTGGGGTCAGGTGGGCTCCCGGATTCCCATCTCTTGACCTGCAGGGAGTAGCTGGCTTTGCTCCTTGCCCCTCCCAGTGCCATGTGCTGGCACCTCTGTAATCTTGTCCTTTGAGCAGACGATAGTTCAAATCCGCCTGAGCTAGACGCTCTCCATGGCCTGTCCAGCTGCTCCCCAGGAGCCTGCGAACCAAGACCACGGTAGCCATCGACGGGGCGTGTCATCACCGCGTCTGCAGCTCTTTCGAACGTGCTGGAGCCCTGGAACGCTGCAGTGGCTGTGCTGCCCTGCCTGGCGGCTGCCTCCAGTTCAGCCGCACCAGTGAGATCTCCCCCGGGCAGACACCCACGGGTGTGCCGGACCCCGGACTCATCTGGGTCTCGCTGCACCAGCTGCAGGGCACATTGCCCAGCTCCTCCCTCCACTGCCTCGGCCAAGGAACGACAGTCCCCGGCTCCCAGCGTGGTGGCAGGCCGCCGTTCCTTTGGTACTGCCGTTGGCATCTGGGTCCGAGGACCTTCCCCGGGAGCTGCTGGTGGCAGGTGCTGCTGTGTCGTTGGTCCAGGGCCCTCTGCTCTGGGACCCCCCACCACTAGAGGCCAGGGGGAGCCAGAATGGGCACAGGGCCCTCTGGTCCCTCCATCACTGTCTGCAAGCAGCATGGCCAGGCCGCTGAAGAGGACAGTGCCAGCTGACGAGCTGCCGCTGCTCGCGCTGCGCGCACACAGCCTGGAGAGCCTGTCTCCTCTCACCTGCCCCAGCCCAGGTAGCCCCGAGCACGAGGGTGGGCAGCGTAACACCCACGGTCTCTGCTCCCCTCCAAGCCGTTGTTCCTTCCCGTGGCCCAGCCACTCCTGAGTGGGAAATTCCTGGCCGAGTCCCAGCGGGGCCGGAGCACGTCCGGCGCTGACGTGTGCTCGGAGCGTGATGGATGTGGCCCCAGGGGCTGCTGCTCTGCCTCCGCGGGGCCCCTGGCCTCTTTCCTGGGGAGGCTGTGTTGTGCTGCAGGTGTTTATGGGGACCAGATGGTGCAGCCGAGTGAGCGTGACCCCTGACTGCAGAGTGTGGGGCGCAGGTCACGTTCGCACCTTCCTCCCCGGGGAAGGGGGGGTGGGCTCTGTGCCTGGGGGAGCCACAGAGTCTGCTCCTCAGTCCAGCCCACTGACCCTCACTGGCCCCCTCCTTGCCGGGCAGCCTGTGCCCTGCACGCCTGGGGGGCTTGGTCGTTAAACACCCCCGAAAGCTGCTAATTGGGGGCTGGCTCTGCTCAACTCCAGGCCCGCCAGGCGCCTCGAGAGGGGGCGAGCGGGAGCCACCGCTGGCCCCGAGCCTGGCCCAGTGCGGAGACACGATGAGTGGGTTGGAGGCAGGTCACAGCCATTGGCCTATTGAATGCAATGGGGTGCTGTCCTGGGCTCCCTGCAATGACAGGGCACCAACCACAGCCCCCTGCTGCCGGGTCCCAGCATGCACTGCTCCCTGAAACGAGCATGCTGGGACCTGCGGTCAGTGTTGAGGACGAGGCCGGCCGGGGTGACTGACGGAGGGTGTGCTGCATACCCCGGGGCGGCTGTCCGCGTTCTCGGTACAGTTCATTGTGTGTGTTCAGGGGAACGGCCAGGTGGGATCAGAGCCGAGGGGCAGCTAGCCCGGGCTCCAGGCTCTGACGGGGGCCAGCCCCAGGGCCTGCAGAGGAAGGTGCACGAGCCCCACTGGAGCAGACGTGGGACCCTCCCCCCACTGCGTGCACGTGTGTGTAACCCAGTGGCACGGCCCCGGTAGGTCTGTCTCTGGGCACGTCTGTCTGTGCAGGCGCAGGGGGAGCGGGCCTGGCGGCTGAGGCCTGGAAAACGTGGGGCTCGCTCCTGTGTGAGGGACGGGTGCTGGAACGTGTTCGGCTGACCAGCCCCAGCCCCTGCCCGTGTGCTAATGGGGACCACCCTGTGCGGCGGGTAACGAGCCGCACCCTGCGTGGAAGGGGCTCCCTGCAGCCTGGCCATGGTTCCAATCAGGAAGCCGTTAAGGCCTTTAAACTCTCCCTGGTGCGGTCAGCGAGGCGTGCCAGGTGCTTACCTTGATGATGTTTCCCCAGCAGGCAGCGGAAGGCTGGGAACGCTCTGCTGGATGAGGGGGGGTTGCGGGCGTATTGCCCCCAGGGCTCCTTTGTTCCCTTTAAATCCGTAGTGAGCAGGGATTGCTCTGCTCTGCTAATGACCAGGGCAGGACGGGAGCCCCCGGAGCCATCTGCAGCCTGCGAGCCCGGGGGCTGGGCACCACATGCCCAGCGTCTGCCCAGGGCCTTTGGCATGCTAGGGCTTGGGGTCCTGGCTTCGCTGCTGGCAGCTTTGGGGCTGTTTGTCAGTCTCCCCCCACTGCAGGGGCCTGTGGCTCCGTTCTCTCGCCCAGGGCTCTGCGTACTGTCGGCGGTGTGCTGGAAGAACACGGCAGCCGTGGAGCACGGCGTGGGGGAGCCGGGCACACCAGTGGGTGTCACGGAGCGTGTGGGAGACAAGGCCCTGCACCCCCGGCTTCCTGCGATTCACCGGGACTCTCAGCCAGCCAATAACACAGAAGGTTTATTAGACGACAGGAACACAGTCCAAGACAGGTCTTGCAGGTACAGACAACAGACCCCCTCAGTCAGGTCCATCTTGTGGGGGGCAGGGAGGCCAGAGCTCTGTCTGGGCGCCCCTCCATTTCCCCAGCCAGCCCCAAACTGACTCACACTCCAGCCCCTCCTCTTTGGCCTTTGTCTCTTTCCCGGGCCAGGAGGTCACCCGATCTCTTTGTTCTCCAACACCTTCAGTTGGCATTTTTGCAGAGGAGGGGCCCAGGCCATCAGTTGCCAGGAGACAGAGTGTCGGCCATTCTCTGTGCAGACAGCATCTCACTGGCCCTCACGGGCTCTTCAACAATCACATACCCTGATTCCCCCACCTAGACACCTAAGAAATGCATAGGGGAAACTGAGGCACCCACACAGTATTCAGAGAGAACATTAAGAACATTCCCAGTGGGTCACAGCTGGGGTTTGCTGCACGTCCACTGGGAGGGCACAGAATGGCTTCGGTTTCTGGAGAGAGAGTCTTTGCTGGGCATAGGACCCTTCTCCGTGCCCATTCCCCTGCAGGGCAGGGCAGGCCGGCTGGGGTGAGAGGGTGGGGCCTGGCTGGGGAGAGCGGAGCCGGAGGGCGTGCCAGCTGCAGGGGTGTTTGCAACTGAGGGGCGAGGCCCGCAGGCAGGAGCCTTTCCTAGGGGGCTCATCCCCCATCTGCACTCGTGTTGGCCGCAGAAGTTTCTGCCATGGAGGGTGCTGACGCCGCGGCCAGCTGTCTCCTAAGCGTGCACCGGGGCGCCCAAGCTTTGCCCAGCTGATGGTCACCTTGGCAAGCTCCCGGCACTCCCTGGGCTGTCGAACGCAGTCACAGCCATCTGTGTGACCCTGCAGCCTGTCGAACCGATAGGTCCCCGCAGGCCTCGCGCCATTTTGACCAGGGTTTTTCAAGGCAGGCCCAGCCAAAGGAGAGACGCGAACCTGGGTCTCCGCCCAGGCAGAGCAGAGCGCTGACCTGCAGCCAGCCGGAGGGGTGGGGGTGGGGAGCCAGGGCTGCCAGCTGTGCGGGTTGCTGGGGTGGAGGCAGGGGCTGGGGCGGGCACACAGGTGCAGTAGCACGTGGACTGGAGGAGGAGGAGCCGCCGTGCGGGATGCTGGGGTGGAGGCGGGGCGGGGCTCTGTTAGAGCAAGCATGGGTCTGGGATCCTAGAGCGTAGGGTTCCAGTCCCTGCCCAGCTCTGTCAGACCCACACGTCCCTTCCTCTCTGGCCCCACTTTCCCCCCTGTGGCAGGACTGGTGTCTGGTGGGGAGAGCGCGCCGGTTTGGCTGCGAGAGGGACGGCGGTGCGGTGATGTGCTCAGACGGCGGGGTGGCATCACACACGCTCTAGGCAGGGAATGCTCACCCAGCGCGTGAGCTTCTGCAGGGCTCCCCCAGGGATCGATGCTTGGCCCTGCGCTAGTTGTCACTTGGATCCGTGACCTGGAAGAAAACATCAAACCATCGCTGGTTACGTTTGCCGAGGACTCAGAAATGGGGGGGAGTGGCAGATAACGAAGAGGCCAGGTGACTGGCACAGCACTTGGGATCGCTTGGCGAACTGGGCGCAGACAAACAATACGTGTTTTAATCTGGCTCAATGTCAGCGTAGCCCTCGGGACGGCGCAGGTCGTACTCCCAGGATGGAGGGCAGTGTCCTGGGCAGCAGTGACTGAAAGATTGTGGGATGCGGGGGATGGATTATCAGCTGCACATCAGCTCCCAGTGCGACGCTGGGGGCAAAAGGGCTAAGGGGACAGGGGAATCTAGAGGTGGAGCAGAGAGGTTCTTGTACCGCTGTGTGTGGCCCTGGGGCGAGCGCTGCTGGGATCCTGGGGCCAGTTCTGGTGCCACAATACAAGGATGGTGATAAATTGGGGAGGGGTCAGAGAAGAGCCCTGAGAATGATTCCAGGGTTAGAAACCTGCCCGAGAGCGAGAGACGCCAGGAGCGCCGTCGGTTTTGCTTAGCCAGGAGCTGGGTCGGGGTGACCTGGTCACAGTCTGTAAGGACCTGCGTGGGGAACGCACATTTAATAGTGGGTTCTTCAGTCTAGCCGAGAGAGGTCTGACCCGAGCCAGTGGCTGGAGCCGATGCTAGACACATTCACACTAGAAGGAAGGGGTGAGCGTAATTAACCCTTGGAGCGCCTTACCGGGGGCGGGGTGGATTCTCCAGTTTAGATCGGACGGGCTGCGTTTCTAACAGCTCTCTCTAGGAGTGGGCTGGGCGCGGGTCTCTGGCCTGGGAGATGGGAGGTCAGACTGAGACCCGCTAGGTGCGAGCTCACCTCCCGCTGTCTGTCCCACTGCAGGACGTGCGTAACACGGTGGGCAACATCCCCATGGAGTGGTACCAGGACTACCCGCACGTCGGCTACGACCTGGACGGCAAGAGGATCTACAAGCCGATCCGAACCAAGGATGAGCTGGACAAGTTCCTGGACAAGATGGAGAACCCCGATTACTGGTGAGGGGCTGGGGTCCCCCTGCTTCCCCCAGGAACGCCCTGAGTTCCAGGCCAGGGGCACGACCACTCCCACCGCCCCGGCCTGGGGTCGTGCTCCCAGGCAGGACAAAGGCATGTGCATCCCCCTCTCCAAACCTGGGCAGCCCCAGCACGTGGTGTCTGAAGCCTGCTGCCCCCAGGAAAGCTCGGCGCGCTGCCGTGTTCGGAGCCCACGGGGCGACCGGTCAGCTTTCCGCTGGCTTCTGTCTGTGTCCCCTCCCCGAGCGCGGGCTCCGGGCTGCTCCGCAGCTCGCCTGCTGCCGCCCCAGTACCCCGCGGGGGGAGGCAGGCGCTCTCTGGGCACATGCATCGCGGCAGTGAACCCAGAGCAGACTCTCACGCGCCCTATGCTGGCCGGGGCCTGTGTCCCTGGGCTCTCTGCCGTGGCTTTCCGGCAGCTCCCCCCCTGCGGGCAGAGCGGCACAGCCTGGAGCATAAACTCCCCCCGTCCCTCTGCCTGCACCCTCTGTGCACTTGGGGGGGAGGGGGGCATAGTCCTGCCATCGCCCAGCCCCCTCCCACTCACTCCCAGTCAACGCAGAGCTGGCGAAGGGGCCTGGTCGGCAGCCTCGCTTCCTGCCCTGGAGAGCCCGGCTCTGGGGGCGAGGGGGCTGCCGCAGGAGTCGGTTCGAGGACGCGGGAAGGGGGCTCGCCTCCTGCAGACCAGCACTGAGATGGGCTTTGGGAGTGGAGCGCCCTCCGGATGGTCCTCACGGGGTAGACCCACACGGCAGCCCAGCCCTCGCCCCTCACGTGTCCCTGTCCCTCAGGCGGACGGTGCAGGACAAGCAGACGGGGGTGGACGTGAGGCTGACGGACGAGCAGGTGGAGCTGGTGCAGCGGTTGCAGAAAGGGCAATTCGGAGACGTGCACCTTAACCCCTATGAGGTAGGGGACCCTGCTGCCACCTCCAGGGCTGGGCCTGTGTGGGGCTCCCTCCCCTCCCCTCCCCAGGGACACCACCTCCAGGGGGGCTCCCTCCCCTCACCCCACAGCTGCCACCTCCTGGGCCAGGCCTGTGTGGGCCCCCTCCCCTCTCCCCATGGCCGCCACCTCTGGGGGTGGTCGTGCGGCGCGTCTCCCTTGCAGCGTGTGGCCCTCCTGCCTTCCCAGGCTGGGTGGGGACCCAGTGGGCCAAGGGAAGGAGCCGGGGCAGCCGGAGTGACCCCTCGCTCTCCCTTCCCA